TTGATTCATACTTCATTATGTTCCATGTTCTGATTATTTATGGATGTTTGCAGCTGTTTCTTCTCATTTTGAGTCATGCCACATCAGCAGATGAAGGTCCCAAAAGCTTGACTCCATCCACGTCATTAAGGTCGACTCTACTTTGAGGAGGCAGTACTTCCCCAGTCATCACTTAAGTGCCTTCCAACCTGAGGGACTCATCTTCTGGCACTACATCAGACAATGTTCTGCTGCTATTCATAAGGTTTTCACTGGCTAATTTTCAGAAGCAGATCACCAGGTCTTTCTTCCTAGTCTTAGTCTGGAAGCTCTGCTGAAACCTGTCCACAATGGACGACCCTGATGCTATTTAAAATACCAGTAGCATAGCTTCCAGTGTCACAGCAACACATAAACGACCACAGTAGGACAAACCGACAGACAGATGGTGGGGTCGAATATTGGAAAGTTCTAACAAGGAACAAAAGGGATTCTTTACCAACTAGGAAATGACAGCCACCCAAGGCTCTCATCATGCAGGGTGGCCCCAAGGTGTCTTTGTTTTATAATGCCCTAAAATTCCCTCAAGGAGCCTCGGTGGCACAGTGGTTATGTGCTCAGCTGCTAACCAAAAGGTCAGTGGTTCAAACCCACCAGCAGCTCTGCGGGAGAAAGATGTGGCAGTCTACTTCCGTAAAGATTACAGCCTTGGAAATCCTATGGGGTAGCTCTACCCTGTCCTGTAGGGTCATTATGATTCGGAATCGACTTGACAGCAATGGGTTTGAGGAGTCCCTGGGTGGCACAAACGGTTAAGTGTTGAACAACTAACCCAAAGGTTGGCAGTTTGAGCCCACCCAGAGGTGCCTCAATCTGCTTCTGAACGGTCACATCCTTGAAAACCCTATGGAGCACAGTTGGGTCTGCACACGTGTGGTCACCATGAGTCTGAGTCGACTCGATGGCTTTTTTTTTTTTTTTTTAGTATCTTGGTAGAGACTATAAGAACTAGTGGTAAGGGAGAGAGAAAAGTGGACTTACACCATAAAGGCAACTAAGATGAATGGTCTCCACTTTGATACATTGCTCAATCCATTTCCAATTATATGGCGGGTCCTCCCCTCTCTGCTGATCTCAAGCTGGAGGGAAAAGTTGGGCTCAGAAATGTGTTCAGAAATAATTTTACTGTCAAATGTGTGGCTATTTCTCTGGCAGCTCTATCCAACTGTGGTAATAATGAATGTGGCAGGGGATTCCAGATCTTACTACCTCAGGTCCTACATGCAGGCATCCGTGTGTTCAAATACTTGTTCTCATTTCAGAAATTATCTGTATAAACCTGTCCCAAGATGAGTCCCATAATGGACCTCTTTCAACATTCAATTTTAATGCTCTTTTTTTTCTAGAGCTCTTGGGGTGTATAGTAAAGATTTATCCACAGACGTTCTAATTCAGAACTTTTAAACTAAAAAATAAGTCATACAAGGAAGCACTATATTAGAAATACGAGGTGCAGGGAATTCTATTGTACCCTGGGTACCAGTCTCATGTTTTAGTGATATGAAAGCTGTAACCACCAGTTAAGAGTGACTGTCTAGGTTAGAAGAGATTGATGTATAGAAGCATATAATTCAACACATTTAACTATAAGGTCAAAAAGAAGAAATTAATGAAAAACATTTTCTATGTCTTTTTCGCCCAGGACTGTGCCTGACAGAAAAGTGGACAAGAGCTTGCTGGGTCATTTCACTAGTAACAAAGTCAATGGATTTTCTTGTACAAGGCTTTGAAAGTGGAAATAGGGTGGGGTTTGGCGAGCGTGTCTGCTTCCCGGAGTTAAGTATGGAAGGTGCACCTCATTCATTGCTATTCAATTCATTTTCGAGGCAATATCTGGAGAGAGCAAGTGACTCAAAGGTAATGAAGTCTTGTGAGCCACATGGTTTCACATAAAAGTTAGAGGTAAACCCACACTCCTGTGGATCTTGGGATTATTCCAGTCTTACATAGAGTTTGAATGACTCCAACACCCAGCAAGTCTTCCACCAATGAATTTAACAAAGAGGGTGGATAAAAGGCGGTGTAGGGGTAAGATGAAGAATGGAACACATTTTCTCAGGAAACGGTTAGGAAAGCCTTCGATGACCTGGAATGATTCCTTTATCACTATATCAATATATCTGCATCAGTGACTTTGAAAAGATGACAAAGGCTGGCTTCTCCTAGTGGCTTACGGAGACTTTAAGATTCCTGGCAACAAGAATTATTTCTGAATAGTGCTGGCCATAAGGTCAATGTGAACTGCAGGACAGTGAAGTTGCAGGTATTTCTTTACCAAATGCCCAGCGTGTCTACAATATTGTACTCAGGGCTGTCACATACAAATGTGAGTCTATGTGGATGGAGCTCCCTTGAGTTGTGCAGTGCACACCCTGTGCAACTGTATATGACTGTCCCAACTGTATATAAAAAGCTGGAGGAAAAAGAAACAAAAATAAATCCCACATCTAGGCAGCTAATCTGATTTTATCAGTGAGCTAAACATAGGCAATAAGTTAACCTTCTTTCTAGAAGAAAACGTGCTCTGCTTAGACTGAGAAACTTAACAGCTAAACAGCACATACAGTGGATTCAAGTTGAGGTTTTCAAACAGATGTGCCTCGGTTCACATCTTCCATGCACTGCTGATCTCAAACAGCTATCCTTCCAAGCACAAGTGATAAGACTAATTAATGACAACACGATGCTTTACAGTTAGACGGCATTAAGCGTGAGTGTCCAAGGCACTAGTAACTGTGTGGTTGCTGCAGAAAAAATGTTCACAGGCTCATATAACTGTAGCAGAAGCAATGTTAATCTAAGGTGAAAATCAGGACGATGCTCAAGGCTAGAAAGTGAGGACCGTGGGGGAAGAGCACCTTAGGGAGAGAATTGACATCACTGGAAAATTCTAGAAAAAGAGGTGATTAGAAGAGGGGAGGAACCCTGAAAACTTCTTATAATAAATGAAACATTTTTTTATCTTCAAAATCACAATATAATATTGAAATCCCAGTGTCCTAAATCATTACCATCTTGAATATGCTTTCAATATAAATAGGAAGAATGTTAAAATTAAGCAGCATATTTCTTTTTTGCTCTCTCTTAGGAAAAAAGTGGAGAGAAAAGTATAACCAATATGATATACCTCATTATACCTCCCCACCCAGTAACATCTATGCCAAAACTTCTGTTAAACTACAGGCAACACTTTCCTTCATACTGGAAAGATTTAATTTAGCTGAGGGCTGGGGGAGGCCATAAGCTCAGTATACGTAGCTTCACTTGTTAATGAATTTCTGATATATATGGGGAAAAAAAAACCCTAAAAGTATTACTAAGCATATAATGCTGCCTCTTCCACGTGGAAGGACTTGTTTTCCCTCACATGTAAATTTAACTGCTTCCCTCCATTGCCCCACCAAATAAATGGATATTTTACAAATAAACTGGAAAACTTCACTGTGCCCAAGACATCTAAAGCATTCCTGGTGGTTATGCTCTTTTTGAAAGAGCTGACCAACCTAAAGAATATTACTCATCTCAAACAATTCAGAGGCTCCTCTCTTGTACCACCCAGGGAATTGATATTTTAAACAGTCAAAAGGGAACGTTTCAGCGCTCCACGAGGCCAGCACATCTAACGAATTCCTGAGTTTTGTGGACTTACAAAGATGCTGAATAACCTGAAAAGTCTTATTTGCTTCAGACAAGTCAGGCTTTTTTCTCCTGTTGCCTATGTTCAAAACTGGATTCTCTCTGACCTACAGTCAGGCATTGAGAGCCAACAGCCAGGCTGGTGGGAGTAAGGTGTGGGCCGAATGACTGTGATTTCTCCCATGTACGTTTAGAATTTAAAAATTTAGAAAGGTGTGGGCTGCTGGGCAAGGCCACTTCCCACCCCTAACACAGTGTTGCTCAATCCTTTTCACTATCAATCTCTCCTCCCCCTAGAAGCCTTTTTAGCCATTTTCCCCCAACTGCCCCCTATGAACATTTTAATATCAAACATATACTGTATATCTTTTTATGGACTTTATGTATATCTGTGCTTTAGACATAAAAACCAATGAAAAATATTTTCACATGCCCAGTACCAACTGTCCCCCATTGGGGGCGCTCTCACTCCCGTTAAGAACGCATGTCCTAACAACAGCTACAAAAACCCAAGTCCACACTTGCTTGTCTGTTCACAGCCAGAAATCCTAAATCAATGACTTAGCACCACTTCAGTCAAAATAAATATATCTGAATCACTCTCACAATAAAAAGCTTTAAAATAAACTTGATACAATCTATGAAAGGCATAATATTGGGCAAAATACCGCTCTAGCACTAACATCCCAGTTCATTTTTTTTAACGTTGCTCTCAATTCATTGGGCTCTACCTGATACTTGCTCATAGAATCAAAGAATGCTGGATTTGATTACTGTTAAATTTTACTCGCGTTTCAAAACATAAAAGAAAACAACATCCGAGAAAACATTTTTCTAGATGATGTCAATGAATAATTTGTGAAACGGATGGAAAACGTCTGCAGAAAAGCACTAGGATTTTGGATTTTCAGAAGAACTAAACAAAATAAATAAACCTTTTCTGCTCACAAACGACCTGAACATAATGGCCCACAAAGTTATCTGTGTCGTAAAAACCTACCAGTGCTTCACTAGAAAACCAGTGTGCCATCTGCATACACAATTGAGGGGAAAAGATCCCCGACCTGAGAAGATTCCAGCACGTTCATGGTCTATTACCAGTCCAAAGAAACCCGCGGCATTTTCAAACACTCAGGGCAAGAACCTTAGAGTAAGTCTAAGAAACAGAAGAGCCACTAACAAACTCAGGATATATGCTGTCCACTGCATTTTTGAAACTGTTTCAAAAAGCATTATTAGAGGGCAAAGAAGGAAAGTCCTCCATATAAGCCGATTAAAAAAAAAACAAACAAAACTTCATCCCATTAACAATTGTGCTCACCTACCTTAACCGGTCCGTGTTCATAACTGAAGCCCTGTACCAGCTGCAGGTAAGACATCATGAAAATATTCGCCACTGCCCACTGTCTGTACATTTTGAATATTTTAATATCCACTGATTAGCAAGCAGTTGACATCAGGCAGATAGAGAAAATTGCTTCAAAAGGCATTTCTTCTCCAGAAAGTTGGAAACCCCAAGACCTCACATGGAAAAACAAATAGTTGTGATCAAAATCCAATGAAATGACTTCAATTAGGCAAGGTACATTTTTGCACAATCTTGTCGGGGGAGGAGAGAGAGAGAAAAAAAAAATGTAAAATGTTCTCATGCTCTCAAAAAACGATCAAGAAGTGGACGTATCTTCTACCTGAATTTGTTAAGTGCACTCTATCCATTTCACGTCCAGCAAATTTAAAACATCTCTCCACCCTACGCCCCAGGTCCCTTGGTAAGGAGGCAGTGTGGCCACCAAGGTTTGGAGCTACAGAAAACCCCAACCCATCTTTGGATTAAAACTTTTTTCACAACCTTCATGGAAGCTCGCAGAAGCATGTGTCTTAAATCTGACACAGGCTTTGGCAGAAAAGGCAGGCAAGCCTTGGCTGTGATCCTGTTGCGTCCCTACCAATAGCGGGGGCAGTTTTTTTTAAACTGACTCAAACGCTCAGGCCTTCTGTTATTTTAAGGCAGATAACCTGTAACATGAAACCGCAGCACAGTCTGGACTCAGACTGTTGTACAGCAATCACGTTACTCAGGAAGGGATTGTAGACGCACAGTTACTGCCACAGGAAGCAATCAAATATGCTTAAAAAATCCCCACATGCACAAAAATAACAAACCCCTCCATACATACTTGCAAACACACACACACAGATACAGAAATTTCTTTTTTTAACAGAAGCTTAGTTAACAGGTCAAAGTGAAGAACACTGATTGCTTTCTAAAGCAGCAACAATCAGGTTTATTGGCGTGCACCAGGAAATGGCCCGAGTGCATCGCTATAAAACGCATGTCATCACTTTAGTGTGGAACTCTTCAGAATCACCAGCTCCATCAGCTCTGGAACGTGAATGCGTTGGAAGGATGGACGGCACAAATAGCAAAATTCTCGGAAGCATCGAAATCTGCTCTTGTGGTCTTTGCTAGTTTCCAATCTTTGATTTCCAGGTTCTGGCCCTTTCAAACCCATTTTTCGCATTTCTGAAATCAAGAATGGCCTGAGAAATCTCTTCACTGGTGTTCATCACAAATGGACCTAGGGCAAGGGCAGAGAGAGACATTCAGAAAGTTCTGGATGACAACATTTTCCTCTATCACTAGAAACGGTACAGTGTTTCTGTAGTTCTTAATCTGAAACAAAAGTCCAGGCATATCTGAACAGTCAGAGGTTGCTTTTGCAGTGTTCAACCCCCGAGGACTGTCATACGAGTTTCTTGACTAGGACTGTGTATGATTCTAAATTATAAAGACCAACCTTCGGATAAACAAATGCGACTGTGTCTCACCCATCCATTGCAGGCTCCTCAGAGGCAATGGCAAGCTCTCTATTCACAACATTCTTAGGTTTAGTTCTATCACACTCATTGTTTTTTTAATAGTATTAGCTGATGCCAAGAACTGAACTGTTCTAGTATGAAGAATTGGCACATCTCGGCAGTCTTGGTGTCTAAGCAGCATTTATGAGGCTGTAGAGTTATTACCAGGATTCTAAGTCTTTCTTGAAAATTAGCAGCACCTCATTGACAAGAAACAGGAGATTGCAAACATTTCAGGCAAGAAAGCATCATTTTCTGGATTCTCTGTTGTTGCCGTTGTTAGCTGCTGTTGAGTTGGGCCCCAACTCACAGCGACCCCATGCACAACGGAACAAAACACTGCCTGGTCCTATGCCATCGCCATGATTGGTTGCGATCCATAGGGTTTTCACTGGCTGACTTTCAGAAGTAGATCTCCAGGTCTTTCTTCCTAGTCCATCTTAATCTGGAAGCTCCACTGAAACTTGCTCAGCATCACAGCAACACGCCAGCCTCCAATGACAGACGGGTGGTGGCTGTGCATGAGTACACTGGCCAGGAATCAAACCCTGGTTTCTCACCTGGAAGGTGAGAATTCTACCACTGTACCACCACTGCCCTCTTTTGATTCTCTAGAGGGTGGGAAACTTTTCCTGTAAAGGGCCAGATAGTAAATATTTTACATTATGTGGGCCGTACAATGTCTGTTGTAACTACTTGACTCTGCCGCTGAAGTGCAAAAGCAGCCACAGACAAGATGTAAGCAAATGGGCGTGGCTGTGTGCCAATAAAACTTTATTTATGGAAACAAGCAGTGGGCAGATTTAGCCACCCATCGACCATAGTTTTGGGACCCCTTTGTCTAATTCCTGGGTCTAAACTTGGGTTTTGCTAAAAGTGTGCAAGGAATCCTCCTCTGATCTACCAGGGGGCAAAATGTCTGCCTCTTCCCTTTCCTTCACACATTGTAGGGGCAAAGAGGTCCAGTCTCGGACCAGATCGCTCCCGTGATCTGTTGGGTAAACCAGGCTAGCTCTTTTGTAGGGGGCGCCGGCAGTATCTGGAAAGCAGTTGACAGATGTGTCCATGAGCATATTTCTTCCAGCAGCCTGCAGAAGTTCCTGAACCACTGTTAACACAACAGCAGATTTAGTGATCATTTTAGTTTAAAACTCTAGAAGGAGGATATAGGACAATACGCCTTGATGATGCCAAGGTCTTCGGGGGAGGCTGCAGAGAACAGGATGCCAGGAGGAAGTGAAAAACTGCAGAAGACATCTAAATTCATTCATTCATTCAGTTACACATCTTTCAGGTATTTACTGGAAAAGAAAACTGTTACCATCTAGTCAACTCTGACTCATGGCGACCCTGTGTATGAGAGTAGAACTGTGCTCCAGAGACCTAAAGATGACAGAATGACAGAGTCCCTCCCCTCAAGGAGCTCAAATCTATCACACAGATACAAAAACAAATAATTACAAAACGGTGCGATACATGGAACGATCAAAGTATGTAAAATCTAGAGAGCCAGTACAGAAAGGGGAAGGGCAGGGCGCAGGGCAGGATTCATGATGGGGTGATGTTCAAACAGACAAACCCAGGGAAAAGGTGATTTCAGGATGGGCACGCTGGAGGCAATGAGAATAGGGGCAAAGTGCCGGAAGAAGAAGAAAGAATGGGGTCTGATATGTACAAAGAGGTCAGACCCCTCAGGCTTGAACATCATCTACAGGAAGACGTTTGCACATAATTCTGCAGGCGATCAGGAATCACCGAAGGATTAAATTGGGAGCAACGTGGTCTGATTCGTAGTTTTTAAAGCAGACTTTGGTATCAGGGGAGAGAAGGTGCTGAGCCTGGGAGGCTGGGTTGATGGTGGAATTGTTAAGTGACTAAGTTACAGGACACAGGAGGTTGTCAGGTGGAGCAAGGTGTTCAGTCCCAGACATTTCAAGAGGGAGGTCCTGGAGAGAATCCAATTGTTTCTAAGAGGAGGTATCTGATACATGGTTGGAAATACAGATCTGGGGTTCAGAAGAGAATTTCATCTGGAGATGGAGAGTTGGACTATATCAAGCAGGAAAGAATGAGAGAAACCGCATATGCAGAATGAGCAACAAATCCAAGAGGGCACCCTGGAGAAGGCAACTTTTAAGGGTCGAGCAGAGGACACACATCCTTTTCCCACCTAAATTCTAGTCACTGTTAATAAAGATTATGAAGAAACCAGAATTGGCTTGTCTGCAGACTTCTTCCAGAAGGAGAAACTACTTCAGTGCTGGTCAATCAAGATAAAAGAAATCAAGAACCATGAACTTTTGAAGTGGAAATCAGAAACACGCAAGATGGAGGTCAAATGTTGCAGGCAGGTGGGATATGACTGCATGTTCTCCCTTAAATTATTAATAGAGTATAAAAGAAGATGTTAAAATTAATCAGTGTTCTTTAAATTTATGATCAGCAGAGTTTTTTCTGAAATCATTTTGTGTACCTGGAAATTCATGCAAAGCAAGGTAATGTAATGGGATTTTAATGAATATTCAATTTAATAATTAACGACGTGGATATATGTTATTTCTTAGAGACATTTATCTACATAATAAGTATGGTTCTAGGTACTTGCAGATGCTCCTCATTTACTCAAACAACAATGTTAGAAGGAAGCCAAGACTCAAAGGATTGAAATGACTATTATGGGTATTACACCAAGATTTTCTGCCTCCAAGTGCAGTCCTATTTCTACTATCTCATAGTTACCTCTATTCATTTATAAATAAACAAAGAATTACTTAAATATCTTAGAAATGTTCAAAGAAATATTATTCCCAAGAGGCTCATGTATTTCACTAGAAATACAACAGACTGCAAGGATGGTACTGAAATCACTGTTATTTTTGGTAAAGATAAAAATGACATTTTAATCCCCAGTACCGTATTTTTACGCAAATAACCAACACCTTCTACGTTTGTTTGCCAACCTCACCCTCACACGGTGAGGCATTTTCCTAAGCATGCCATGCTAATTTTTTTACAACATGTAAGAAAAAATTTGCATAATGGCACTTACGAAAACACTTTGTAGGGAGAAGGGCAAGGTTGGTAAACAAACGTAGAAGGCGCTCGTTGTTTTCATAAAATAGGGTATACCGCAAAATCTGTTTTTTAAGTTGAAACTCACTATAAAATAATGCAAAACTGCTATTTTTTGGTTTTCCCTACAGTTCCAAGCACAATGTCCCACACACAGTAGGTATCCAAGAAAATGTTTCTTTAAAAGAAAGAGTGAATGAGTACAGAAATAAGTGCCATGGATATATGAAGCAACATCTTGAAATTTGCAGATCTGGAGCTAGGACAAAAACCCAGCTATTCTTTTCAATAATGCTATACATGTATACTGCTTGCAAAGAAAAAGAAAATCAACCAAGAATATAATCATCATTTGGGGCTTACCATGTTGGACAACTGGTTCTCTTAAAGGCTCCCCAGCAATTAAGACAAAGTGGCTCCTCTGAGGATCCTAAAATCAACAAAGAAAGCATCAAACTATAAACATGCTTATTTTTGAATGTCAAATTGGGGAAAATTTGAAGTTGACATGCTGGCCAAATGGACAATGTTCCCAATTAGGAATACAAATACCAGAAGTATTTTCTGTGCAACACTCAATATGGAAAAGCTTATTCCTCAAGATGTTTAGCAGCAATTAGAACTCAAGAATAAGTCCAGATCACCAAAATATTAACCTTCTCAAAGTAAAAGAAAGGAGAATTTAAATTAAGATTTGCTTAGACTGAAAACATCTTCAGGACGAACTATGTGATTGTATTGGTTTTTTGTAGAGTTTATAAAGTGAAACCTGTGAGAGCCAGAATTCGACAGGACCGCCTTGTTCGTCCAGGTCTTGCAAGTTTTCCGCCTTTGACAGGGTGCTGTCTTAACATTTTTCTATCGCTCTCTATTAGTGGAAAATATTATTGACTTTTCCTTCTCTGACAGGTTTCTGCCTTACCCAGGTTCTGGCTTTTTGCAGGCTTGCTGTATTTATTTCCCACTATCAACATAATTTTTAATAGGGAGTATTATTTATGAATATCCCAAGATACAATTTTATTACCTTTGACATTTATTGCCATTAATGTAAAATGGGCCCCATCAACGTTGCACTAAACGGAACTGTGTAAAAACAGGGCACCCACAGGCCATCCGCTGAGGCAAATTTCTGTCCAAAAGAGTCTTATTACAAAGCCTCTAAAAATTGTTTAGAATTAAGGGTTTTTTTTTTTTGTTTGAAACTGGAAAAAATCTAACAATTATAATATCTAGTGTCAGTGTGGAT